GAGGAGGAATCATAATAATACAACTACTAATAATAACAATACTACTACTAATCATACTAATAATAATAATAAGAATAATAAGCATGCTATTACGAATAAGAAGAAGAGGAATACGAATACTAATACTAACTCTAATAATACTAAGAAGAATAATAATACTAAGCATACTAATAATGCGAATCAGAAGAATAATACTAAGAAGAGGAATGCTAATACTAATAATAATATTTGTAATACTAATAATAATAACCATACTAATAATATAAATAATTATAATACTACTACTAATAATAATATCAATAACAATAATAATAATAATAAACATAATAAAAATAATAATAATAATCATAATAATAATAATAATAATAATAATAATAATAATATTAATAATATAATTATTAATAATAATAATAATAATAATAATACTAATAATAATAATAATAATAATAATAATAATAATAATAATAATAATAATAATACTAATACTAATACTAGTAATACTAATAATAATCATAATAAGAGGAAGAGGAGGAGGAGGAGGAGGAGGAGGAGGAGGAGGAGGAGGAGGAGGAGGAGGAGGAGGAGGAGGAGGAGGAGGAAGGAGGAGGAGGAGGGGAGGAAGGAGGAGGGGGGGAGAGTTCTTAAGGGGTCCAGCGGAGTGCGGTCTTGCGCGAGTCCGGATGAGACCTCGCGTCCCTGAGCGTGGCCAGGTGCGCAGTTGCCGTCGCTTTTGTGAGTTCCTTGGGTTCCGGCGGGGTGCCGACTCTCGAATCACCAAAACCGGACCTCGCCCTCCCGGGGTGCTGCCATCTGCCCAGCTGTCGCCAACAACGATAACAACGATAACAACAATAACAATGATAGCAACGATAACGATCGACGATCACAATGATAACGCTAACGATAAGAACGACAACGAAAACGATCGTTGTGATCGTTATCGTTATGATCGTGGTGATCGTTGTGATCGTTGTTTGTGAGATCCTGGGGGTCCCGCGAATGCGGTCCTGGGCGGACCCAACTTGGATCTCGCCACCCATGGAGCTACCCACTGCGAAACTGTCGCCGCTGTCGTCGTCTCGTCTGCCTCTCTCCTTTGCAGCCGCCCCATCTACTGGCTTTCCTTCTCCGTTTCCCATTCCTTCATCTCCCCTTCTCTTTTCCCTTCCCCCCGGCCTCTCGTTTCGCCTGCTATTCCTTCCCGCGTTCAGATCCGCAAAAGTGTTCAGCTGAGTACGGGTCATTGCAATTGACAGTGGTTGCACATCTTTCGGGATAGCTTTCAATACCGGATATCCCTCAATCTGTTGTTTTGTAGTGGATGAGCCCGTTGATAGTCGCCCAGTGTGTAAAACAAGAGTTGTGTACGCCTGTGGGTATGTTTTTCAGATTGCGGTTGAGCCTGAAGACGCTGAACGAAGAACATGTTGATGTAGCAATGGAGGATCGGGACGGTGCAGTAAGAGGAGAGGGAGAAGGAGGACTCGTTGGAGAGGGCGAGAGGGACGAGGGGTGTAATGCTCTGCGAAGACTCTCTGGACATCCTGGGTCCTTCTTTGCTCTTGGCATGTCCAGATGCTCTCTCGAGTCCCTTTGGAGGTCGGACGGGGCGAGCACGAGGACAAAAATCCATTCCAGAGCCTTCCGGAACGCGCTCAGAGCGTTCCGGAACGCTCCGAGACGGCCGCGGCGCCCGATACATTCCCCAGAACCGCCAGATCTCGGAGATTCTCGATCTTAGGTGGCCCCCTGCGAACCCTACCCCTACCCCCCACGATTTTGAGGGGGAGGATGGTCTACTTCGCTCGGGAGCTCTCGAGCGGAGTGAACCCCATCCTCCCCCTCAGAAATCTTGGGGGGCAGCAGGGGCAGGGTTCGCAGGGGGCCACCTAAGATCTATCCTTTCCCGATCCTATCCTCGTCCCGGCTGCGTCTTCGGAGGCGTCGTGGGTGCCGCTCCCGGGGCCGTCCGGGCTGCCACTCTCGGACGGTGGGGCCGCCGCCTCGGGGCCCTTCATCGAGGTCGCCTTGTGGGGGCTGCCGGGGCCGCTCCTCGGCCGTCTTTGTGCTCCGCCTTGGCCTCGTCCTCGCCCTGGCTTCCCGCGCTTTCCCTCGTCCTCGTGCCTTCGTGTCCTTTCCCGATGTGATCCTCGTCCCGGCTGCGTCTTCGGAGGCGTCGTGGGTGCCGCTCCCGGGGCCGTCCTGGCCGCCTCTCTCGGGCAGCCGCGGGCCTCTCCAGACGGTGGGGCCGCCGCCTCCGGGGCCCTTCATCGAGGTCGCCTTTTGGGGGCTGCTGCAGGGGCCGCTCCTTGGCCGTCTTTGGGCTATCGTGAGCGCTCTGGAGGCCATCTTGAGCCGACACGCACGGATAGCATGAAATCATCTGCCAGCGTGTGCCTGTCCAAGTGGGTTCTCTTGCGCTCTCGGTGTACGCTCGTGCAGTCTCTGTGGTGCAATCTACGGGCAAGCCATGGGTCATCCTAAACGGTGCTTGTGCGATTTCGTGGGCCGTTTTCGTTTCGACTTCGTTTTGCAACAGAGGCGGATTGGAGACAGAACGAGGGGCAACGAAAACATAACGAAGACGAAACACACTGTCTTGGTCGAGTCCTGGTGTAAGCTGTGTGGTACAATCTGTCGGCGGCGAGCGAGGGGGAGAAGTGATAAGGAGAATGCCTTCTCGGAAGGCGGCGGGGCTTCTCAGAAGGCCCCGGGCCTCCTGAGAGGTGCTCCATGACCTCGGGGAAGGCTCAGAGAACTTCTCAGAAGGCCGGGGGATTTCCGAGCCCTCTGAGAAGGCCCGCCCCTCCTCACTTCACCCCCCGCGAAGAGGCGGAGTGGGAGGAGGAGGAGGCGACGAGGAGGAGGAGGACGACGAGGATGACGAGGATGACGAGGATGACGAGGATGACGAGGATGATGATGATGATGATGATGATGATGATGATGATGATGATGATGATGATGATGATGATGATGATGATGATGATGATGATGATGATGATGATGATGATGATGATGATGATGATGATGATGATGATGATGATGAAGATGATGATGATGAAGATTATGATGATGATGATGATGATGATGATGATGATGATGATGATGATGATGATGATGATGATGATGATGATGATGATGATGATGATGATGATGATGATGATGATGATGATGATGATGATGATGATGATGATGATGATGAGGGCTCGCCGCCGACAACCTGTGCGGTGCGTGCTGCGTGCTGCACCCGGGCACCGCGAGCCAGCGCGCACGGAGGCGGGCACGGAGGCGGACACGGGCGGGCACGGAGGCGAGCACCCGGAGGCACCCGGGCAGCGCACGGAGGCGGGCACGGAGGCGGGCACCCCGGCCAGCGCACCCGGCGAAGACCGGGAGCATCCAGGCAATCGCCCAGCATCGGCGGCGAGCGACCCAGACCCCCTCGAGTAATGAAAAAATCATGACGGGGAGGTTTTTCCAAATTTTCGGCCTCCGGGGGCCCTCACCGGGCCTCGGGAGCGTCAAAAAACGACTCAGGATGCAAAGCCGGTCATGGGGAAAGGGTCGGGACCTCCGGGGGTCGACGTAATGAAAAAATCATTACGTCGGGGGTCTGGGGAGGGGTGGGGAAGGAGGAGGAGGCCTTCTCAGAGGGCGGCGGGAGTTCTCAGAAGCCCTCGCGCCTCCTGGGAAGTCTTCGGTGCCTTCGGGGAAGGTCTCTGGAGATCTCGCAGGAGGCCGGGGGACTTCCGGGCCTTCTTCGAGGGCCCGCCCCTTTCTCACTCCCCTCCTGGGCTCGCCGCCGAGAACAGGCAAGTGAGCGACGCAAAAGTAGCGGGGTCGTCCTCACTGGCATTGGCGCGTAAGATGCCCGCGCAAGGTCGCGCGTGAGCACCCCGGCTTCCAGTGCAGCGTGCTGCGCCGGCGGCCCGCGTAAGCCACCGCGTACGTTCGCTGCGTCGTCTCGCGTAAGACCCGTTTCTTTTCCTCGCTCCAGTGGGAACCCGTGAAGGCAAACACTGTTTTGCTGAGAGGGGCACAGAGAAGGCCACACTCGTTTCGCGGACGTTGGCCGTTTTGGGGGGCTTTCCTTGCGCTTTTTTTAGGGCTCCCCCGTGCGCCTTTGGGCGCCTCTTGGGGGCTCTCTCGGGGCTTCTCTCCGAGGCGGGAATTTATACATGACCACCGCCTGGAGGGTTAGTTTTCGGCGCCTCGGCAGGCGGTGGACATGGACATATTCGGGCCCCCGGGGGCCGAAATATATCCATGTCCACCGCCCGATGGGGCACCAGGACGTCGGTTCCAGACAGTTGATATGGATACATCCCTGCCTCGCACTCTCGGGGCTCGTTTGGGCCGCAGTCGCAGTCTGGACGGGCCGTCTTTGCGACGTCCTGGAGCCCTCTCGGGGCGTCGCCCAAAGCTGGCTTGGCACCCCCAGGCTCCAGTTGACCGACTCGACCCCCCCAGGGAGTGTCGGAGGGGCTCGATGTGTGCACAGCGTCGTTTGGCTGGTCAAGGAGCCAAGGAGCTCGGCAAAGGAATGCAGTTTGCAGACGCTCTAGGGTCCCACCGGTTGCGAAGTTGGGAACGTTGGGTGTCTATATATAGCCAGGCCGCTGCTCGACCAGACGATCTGGTGTACACCTTAGGCGATGCTTAAGAAAACCTAGGTTTTCGGCCAGAGTCTCGATTATTCTTAATGTTTCAATGTAGATCCTAAGATTTTAATGGCCATTCTGGGTTTTATCTAAGTTCTGAGACTATCAATTTCTTAACCCATGATTTCTAAAGCATTTCGCAGGGTGTATGCTTCGAGGCCCTCCAGATGGTTTTGGGGGCATGGGGGGGGGGGGGGCGGCAGACGCCTCGCAAGCTGGCGCCCGAGCGGTCGGCGGACTTCGACGCGCTGGTCATCGGCAGCGTGCGCGGCTTCCCGCACGCCGCCAGCATCAGGCAGCGCCCCTGCCGTGCGCTGCTGCGGCTCCTGCGCCGGCGCATCGGCAATCAGCACCTGGCCTGCGTGGAGGGCGGCGGTACTTCTGCGGCCGCATCCACGGTGGCGCGCCGCTGCCGGACGGGCGCGCTCACGGCGAGCCGCCTGGTGGAGGGCGGCGCCACGGTGCTGACGCACGGTGCAGGGGTCAACTCCTGGTGGCTGCTGCCAGTGCTGGTCGAGGATCCCGAGAGCGTGGTGAGGGGCCTGTGGGCGCGCGGCTTCGACGCAACCTGCACCTCGACGCAGCTGAAGCGGGTGCCAAAGAGCATCGGCTCTGGCTGCAGCGACATCATGGACCGCATCGTCTACCTGCCTCTGACCCCGGAGCTGCCGCGCGAGGCCGCGAAGTCTCTGGCGGACGCGGTCCTCCACCTCCGGCAGGCGCAGCCGTCCGAGCAGGGCAGGGCGGTGGCGAGCGGAGCGCCAGCGGCGGGAGTCTGGGCGGCGCTCCTCTCCGTGGTCCTGGCGCTGAGGCCCGCGCTGCTCCAGTGGCCGCTGTGGCCCGCCGGCGCCCTGGTCGTGAGGGCGGCAGCCGTGAGCCTGGTGGCTCTGGTGGCGGCAGTGTGGCTCGCCCGCAGGCTTGCGGCCGAGCCGGGGCTGCAGATGGCCGGCGCGGTGTTGCCGGCCTTGGCGCCCAGGCAGGGTGTGGGAGTCCGTGGTAGCCCCACTTTGAGATGGCGGGCGTATTTCTCGGTGGAGTTGGGTCGTTGTCATCACGGCGAGGAGTAGGCTTGAAGCAGCATGCTCTGGCGACAGCTCGGCGTGCAGATGAGCGTCGATTCAATGACGTCTTCGTTCCGTGGGCATCGGTTGGCACCGCGGATCTGTATCTTTACATACACATACACCCGTATGTTTAATGTATAATGTATAATGTATATAGGTGTGTATCTATATAGATGTCTATATGGGGCGTTCCAAAAGGGGCCTTACCTTCGAGGGTAGAAGGAGCTCTCATATTTTCCTCGGCGGAAGGTGGCGGAAGGTCGGCAGAAGTAAAGCGAGGCCACCTGCGCCGGCGGGAGCCGGCGGAAGAACGGCGGAAGGCGGCGGAAGGAAGACATGCGCCCCTGAGAGGTGAAAGCGTTTTTGGGTTCAGGGTTCTCGAAATCGCCCATGTAGATACATACATCTATAGGATGTTGGGGGGGGTGAGACCGAAGTGTAACGGAGATCCCCCACAATGAACGCAGTTGCGGTGTCGTGTTTGTGCCGTGCGTGCGGGCGAGGCGAAGCGCTGCGTGCGCGGGCGAGAGGGGTGATCCCGCCGTCTTGCGGGGGCGAGGTCGGAGCAGGTGCTGCTCCGCCCACCCCCCCCGCCGTTGCAGATGGTGCCTAGTGGTTGTCACGCGGTTGTCTCGCTGGTGTCCCGTGGTTGTCCCGCGGTTGTCTCGCCCGATAGTTGTCCCGAGAGCGGTTTGTGGTTGTCCCACGCTTGTCCCGACGGTTGTCCCGACGGTTGTCCCGACGGTTGTCCCGACGGTTGTCCCGATGGTTGTTCGGGTGGTTGTCCCGATGGTTGTCCCGTGGTTGTCCCGGTGGTTTCAATCGCGAAAGTCGTCACCATCGCCATCGCCATTGCCATGGCGATAATCATCGCCATCGTCATCGCCATCGCCATCGCCATGGTCATCATCCTCGCTTCCTGGTTTTCTAGTTTGTAAGTGGTTGAGCAGGCTGGAATCTACAAGTCACAATTCTATTGGATCGACGGTAGATCAGCAGGTCAATCAATTTGTAGGTAGCTGACTCGGCCCCTCCCAATCCCTTTATCGGCAAAGGGCTTCATACGTGTGTATATAACATGTGCGAGTGTTGGCCATAACGGCTTACGGCTTCTTGGTTTTTCAGCGTGAAAATGGGGAGCACACATATAGGCCGATGTATATGTTGTAGCGAACCAGTGAGGCATATTAGCACCAATGACGTGAATGCGCATGTGTATTGGCTTCTCAGTGTGAACACGGAGAATGCACACGTAGGCAGACTTATTTTTAGTAGCGAACTAATGAGGCATACTAGCACCAATGACGTCAGCGTGCAGGTGTATAAGGAGGCTTTCGACGAGTGATGGTTCGTCAAATCAAGCGAATCGACGGATGTAGTCACTGGACGGGAGCGGAAAAACGACAACCAACGCGACATGACACACAAAGAGCACGTTACCACACACCCATTCGAAGTCCGAGCGTCTCATGAAGGCTACCCTTCTGTCACCCCAGGCGGCGGTCGGAGGGCGCCGCTTGGTGGCGAGGCAGACTTGCCATCGAGCAGAGAATCGACGGCGCAGTGCTCCTCACGGGGGCCACTGGCTTCGTTGGTGGAGGCATCCTCTTCGGGCTGCTGGCGCAGGCCGAGGAGCTCGGCGTCACTCGGATCGTGCTCCTGCTTCGCCGGAAGGACGGGCAAACGGTTGCGGGCCGCCTGGCGCAGCTGCGCGCCAACGTCGCGTTCCAGGAGGTGCAGGAGCAGTTCGACAGGCTCGTGACGGTCATCGAGGGCGACACGTCGCAGAAGAACTTCGGGCAGTCGGACGCGGCGGGGCCCTGGGTCCAGCGCGAGCCACTCCGCGTCGTGCTGCACTGCGCCGCTGACGTGCGCTTCGACCAGCCGCTGCAGCAGGCGGCGCTGTCGTTGATCTCTGCCTCGCTTCAGGTAGCCCTGCTCGCGAAGCGCTGGGGCGCCTCGCGCTTCTTGTTCGTGTCGACGGCGTTCGTGCACGCAGTGCCGGCAGCCACGAGCGCGCTGCAGGAGCGGCTGGTGGAGCTCCGCGACTTCGACCCGATGGAGCTGTACCGGGACGCGGTGTCGCATGGCAAGTGGGCCGGGAAGGCAATGCGCGATTTAGGCTTCCCTAACACCTACACTTTTGCCAAGGCGGTCGCGGAGCACCTCATCCTGCAGGCCTGCGGTACCGAGGGGATGCAGGCTCACATCGTGCGCCCGTCCATCGTCACCCCCGCGTGGGCCTCGCCATACGCTGGCTGGTCGGGGGACAAGCCCTCCACCATCGTGGCGGCCCAACTGCTTCTACTGAAGCGCTGCCTGCGCATTTTCAGGTGCTCGGCCCACCCGTGCCCTCTGGTGCCAGTGGATGTCGTCGCCTGTGCCGCAATCCAGGCTTTGGTTGCCTCCGCGCCAGCCGCGGGCGGCGTTGCCACCATCGCGAACGCCACCGTGGACGCATCCGAGGCCGCAAAGCTGCCTTCTTTTCAGCTCCTCGTCGACCGCTTCTACCAGTTATTGGCGCTGCGAGGTGACGTGTCCCTCCCAGAAGCAGGCCTCATCTTCCGCCTTAACCGGTGGGCAGAAAACGCGACTGTGTTCTGGCTGCTCGACAGAGTCATGAACGTGTTCCCGAACATGGTGATGGCGTTTGGTGCCCAGGCCACCCTCTTCGCAGCGCAGACGGTCGGCCTGGACTCCAAGGCACTTCAGAAGCAGTGTAAAGCAATGCAGATCATCGGTCGCTACAGCACCCTGCCTGCGCAGTACGAGCCTTTCAGTGCCCCTTCGTCTGGATGGCTCTTCCGCTCGAAGGTTCGGCTTCCAGAGGATTGGGACCCTGTGGAGTACAATGTCCTCATCCAGCGTGCCGCGATCTTGTTCGCGCAGTCGGGCGGCAAGTCGGCGCCCCCCCCGCGCTCCTCGACCGACGGGTTCCAGGACATCTGCGTCGTGTCGTCCAGACCCTGGTGGTGCGACGCACTGGCCGCTTTCACCATGCCAGGGTCGCCGCTCCTCCTGTCCTGTGCCGACTTCATGATCCGGCAGGTCTTGAAGTGGATGGACTTCACGGTCAAGGTGGACGCCGCCTCCTTGGTGTCCGCCACGGAGCTGTCGCAGCCGCTCGTTCTGTGCCCGACGCATCGCTCTGTCCTGGACTTCGTGATCATCGGCACCGCCTGCTTCCGCTTGTGCCCGCTGCTGCCCCGGCTGCAGGCTCGGGCGGGACGAGAGGGGGGGAAATTCGTGCGGGGCTGGGACGAGGACAAATCCGTTCTAGAGCGTTCCCGCACGCCCTCAGAGCGCTCCGGAACGCTCCGAGAAGGCCGCGGCGCCCGAGACATCTTCCAGAGCCGCCGGCTCTCAGAGATTCTGGATGTATCCTTGCTCGATTTTATCCTTGTCCTGGCCTCGTCTTGGCTTGTAGGGGACCACATGCGAACCCTACTCCTACCCCCCACGATTTCTGAGGGGGAGGGTGGGGTTCAGTTCGTTCGGAGCTCCCGAGCGAAGTGAACCCCACCCTCCCATCAGCAATCTTGGGGGGTAGGGGTAGGGTTCGCATGTTGCCCCTCAGCTTGGGGTTACGAGCTATGCTGCATGCCGCCAGCCTCGTCTCCGCTGGGCGCTTGCTTCGACACCAACGCGCCTCCTGTGCTGTGGGAGGCGCGGGGGGGAAGGCGGCCACGTGAGCTGCTTCACTGACCCCTTCCCTTTACTGCTCCCCCCTTGCTCTACCATTAAGTCGGGTGTGTCTCTCTACAGGAATGATATCCAAAAACAGTCCAGAAATAGTCAGCGGACGAGTTTTTGACATTTTTTAAGTATTTTTCCATATTTAATCGCTTCGCTCATTCCGCCGGCCCATAATGTCGCACCGTGGTCGCCTGTCCGAGTGGTCGTTTGCAGTGTGGAGCTGCGGCGTCGGGAGCTGTGTAGTTGTCGATAAATTTGTTAATGTTTTTTCATGGGGCTTCTAGGTGTTTGCAGTTTTTTGACGGCTTTGGTGCCATCGTGGGGGCGTGTTACCCGTGGTATCCCGCTGTGGGGCCGTTCGAGCCGGGGGAAGAGACATCTTATGCGATAGGGGAACCCTCGTGTCGGAGGGTGGCGGGCTTTGAATGCTAACATTGGCTCTGTTATCGTCCTGATGTCCTCTGGCGTTGCGGACACGGGCGTGAAGGAACACTTTCTTGTGGCGTTTCTCTTACCATCTCTTTTCTAATTGGACAGGAGGAGGAGGAGGAGGAGGAGGAGGAGGACGAGGAGGAGGAAGAGGAGGAGGAGGAGGAGGAGGAGGAGGATGAGGAGGAGGAGGAGGAGGAGAAGGAAGGAGGAGGGGGATGAGGAGCGATGAGGAGCGCCTTTGTCGTCGTCGTCGTCGTCGTCGTCGTCGCCGCCGCCGCCGCCCGCCGCCGCCGCCCGCCGGCGTCGTCGTCGTCGTCGTGGAGGGTCGAGGCTCGAGGCTGGAGGCCAAACGCGGGGGAGGAGGACCACCCCGACCCGCGTTTCCCAAGTCGCGTCTGGCTGGAGTCTTGGAGGCGTCCTGGGGGCCTCCTGAGGATTTTTTGGAGGCCTCCAGAGGGCCTTTTGGAGGCCTCTTGAGGCCTCTTGAGGGCCTCTAGGGGGCCTCTTGGGGCCTTTGAGGGCGTCTTGGGGCCTCCCGGGGGCCCCTGAGGGCCGAGAGCTCGAAATTCTGTTTCGTGAGCCCCCTCTTGGGGCGTTCTTGAAGCGTTCTTGGGGCCCTCTTGGGCCGTCTTGGAGGCCTCTTGGGCCGTCTTGGAGCCGTCTTGGGCCATCTTGGAGCCCTCTTGGGGGCCTCTTGGGCCCTCTTGGGGCGATCTTGGAGGCCTCTTGAGCCGTTTAGGGGCGTCGGGGAACCGAAAAGGTCGGAACGCCCAAATCTGTCCAAAACCAAAGGAACAGCACAGTTTTTTGCCTCTTGGGGCCCTCTTGGGAGTTCTCTTGGAGGCCTCTTGGGGCATCTTGGAGGCTTCTTGGGCCATCTTGGAGACGTCTTGGGCCGTCCGGAGGCCATCTTGGGCGTCGTGGAGCGATCTTCGGGCGTCTCGGACCTCTCTTGGACCGTGTTGGGGGCGTTCTTGGGGCCCTCTTGGGCCGTCCTGGAGGCCTCTGGGGCCGTCTTGGAGCCGTCTTGGGCCGTCTTGGGGCCCTCTTGGGGCCTCTTGGGCCCTCTTGGGGCGATCTTGGAGGCCTCTTGAGCCGTTTAGGGGCGTCGGGGAACCGAAAAGGTTGAAACGCCCAAATCTGTCCAAAACCAAAAGGAAAAGCACAGTTTTTTGCCTCTTGGGGCCCTCTTGGGAGTTCTCTTGGAGGCCTCTTGGGGCATCTTGGAGGCTTCTTGGGCCATCTTGGAGACGTCTTGGGCCGTCCGGAGGCCATCTTGGGCGTCGTGGAGCGATCTTCGGGCGTCTCGGACCTCTCTTGGACCGTGTTGGGGGCGTTCTTGGGGCCCTCTTGGGCCGTCTTGGAGGCCTCTGGGGCCGTCTTGGAGCCGTTTGGGCCGTCTTGGGGCCCTTTTGAGGGCCTCTTGGGCCCTCTTGGGGCGATCTTGGAGGCCTCTTGAGCCGTTTAGGGGCGTCGGGGAACCGAAAAGGTTGAAACGCCCAAATCTGTCCAAAACCTAAGAAAAAAACATTGATTTTTGCCTCTTGGGGCCCTCTTGGGAGTGCTCCTGGAGGCTCTTGGGGCATCTTGGAGGCTTGTTGGGTCATCTTGGAGACCTCTTGGGCCGTCTGGAGGCCATCTTGGGCGCCGTGGAGCGATCTTCGGGCGTCTCGGACCTCTCTTGGATTGTGTTGGGGGCCTCTTGGGGCCCTCTTGGGGCGATCCTGGAGGATCTGGGGGAGTGTCCCGGGCTCCGCCCGGGGTACTTTTGATCCCGGGACCCCCAGGGGCCGCCCCGCGCGCGCGAACTTTCGTCCAAAATCCGCCTATAGGGGGACGCGCCCGACCTAACCCTTGGTCTACCAGGGAAATGTAAGACTCGAGTGCGCCGGAACTCGGGCTTGCTGACGTGTTTTGGCGAGCGCGTCCTGGATTTTGACGTTCCAGTTTTCGTTGGTTGTCAGCAGCGGGAGCTGGCGTCAACTTTCAGGCTGGGTGTCTTCATTTTCATGATGGCACCGTCAGGCCAACTCGAGTCTCCAATACCCGAGTCTTACGTCTCCCAGACTCTGAGGTCTCCCAGATGGGATCGGAGGATCGCGCCGCATCGCCGATGCGGCTCGATGCAGAGCCCGAGCTTCTTCACGCCGACGCCGCTGATGCATTGCCGACGTCGCTGACGCATTGCCGATGCGTCGGCGATGCATCGGCGTAGCGGTGCCTTCCTCCGACCCCATCTACTCCGACCCCATCCGGGAGGCCTCTACACTGGGGGCCCACGCCAAGAAACACCCTGCTTGCCTCCAGTGTGCCCTGCGTTTGTTTCTTGGTTTTCGATGGTTTTGCGGAGGAAATCGTGACGCCCCCGCACCAGAGAAGTCAATGGACGTCCTGGGGTCTCAGGGTTGGGTTTCTTGTGGAAGGTCTCTTGTGGTCGAGCTCCTGCTGTACTTCCGCGGCGGCAATTTATACATGACCACCGCCTGGAGGGTTAGTTTTCGGAGTCTCGGCAGGCGCTGGATATGGACATATTCGGGCCCCCGGGGGGCCGAATCATATTATTCATATGCACCGCCCGTTGGGGTACCAGAGCGTCGATTCCCAGGCGGTGGATATGGATGAATCCCCGACTCGCAGCACTTTCGTCCGGCCCGACCAGGTGCCCCACGTGGCCGCGGACGCGGAGTTCGCGGGCCTGCCCCTCCTGGGCGGCGTGCTCGCGTCGCTGGGCGCCTTCTATGTGCGCCGCGGCGGCGGCGCGGTGCAGCCGGATCCGGCGCTGCGGGCGGAGGCTCTCTGGGGCCATTTTTTGTGTTCCAAGACCATTAGAAATTAGAATTCAAAAGGTTAATAAGCTCTGATCCCGAAAGGCTAGAAGTCAAAAGAAAAGTAGAATTCAAAAGGCTCTGGGGCCCAGGGGCAAAGCTCGAGGGGCACGAGATGGCACAAACATGATTTCTCGGAGCTCCGCGCGGATTTCTCGGATCGGCGCTGGGGCCCCCTGGCGGCACCTCTGGCGTCGCCCCTGGCGCGCTCCGCGCGCCAGGGAGGGGGGCCCAGCCGAAAGTTGACGTGTATGCAGTTTTTCTCCAAACAGTGCTTGCATTTAGGAGTTTTTCATTTCTTTTCTAAGGAGCTGGGCCTGCGTATTGGTCCGGCGGCTATGTCGTCGCCGTCGTCGCCCCGTCGCCGCTTCGTCGCCGCCAGTCGTATGGGCCTGTGTGTTAGTCCGGCGGCTATGTCCGTCGCCGCCCCGTCGCCGCCTCGTCGCCGCCAGTCGTCTGGGCTGTGTGTTGGTCCAGCGGCTACGCCGTCGCCGTCGCCGCTCGTCGCCGCCGTTAAACTGTACCACATAGAGTGCACCACATATATTGCTCAACAAGTATTGCACAACATATATTGCTCAGCATAGACCATCGACTGCACAACATACAGATTTGACACCATATTGCGCCACGTAGATTCTCCTTTCTAATAGACTCTTCCCCCCCGGACTTAACGCTTCCCCCTGGGATAATATAATTGCATATATATATATATATATATATATATATATATATTCTGCACACTCGTCCATCTTAAATATGAAATCGTACCATCCCAGGCAGGCCGGTTTCCCCCCCCTGAGGTTCCCTTGTAAAAAACACTATGCGGTGACATTTTTTGTTCTAACATAGCACTTTTTTTGCGAATCCCGTGCAAAACATGGGACGAAGTGCACACGCGCGCGTCGTCGCGCGCGCATGCCGAAATCCTTCAAAAACTTTCGGTTCCGGAGAGATTTCAAAGTTGAAATTCCAAAAAACATGCAAAAATTGGATTTCCAAAACACTGATTTGCTAAAAAAACTTACGCGCGAGCTCTTGCGACATCTTAAGCAAACCATAGGTTTTCCAAGATTTTACAAATAGCAACCAAACGGGCTTCGCGCGCATAACGAAATCTGTCGAACGCCCTTGCGCGCGCGCCGTCGCGAGAATCCTCTGCAAAAAAATGGGACGAAGTGCAGACGCGCGCGTCGTCGCGGGCGTATGCCGACATCCTTCAAAAACCTTCGGTTTCGGAAGGATTTCGAAATCGTGCGTCCAAAAAACCTACCAAAACACAAGGCTTCGCAACACGGGTTTTCAACAAAAGTGTGCGCGCGCGCTCTTGCGTCGTCGTCGTCGTCGTCGTCGTCCTCCTCCCTCCTCCCTCGTCGTCGTCGTCGTCGCCGTCGTCGTCTTCTGTCTTTCCTCGTCGTTGTCGTCGTCTTGGCGTCGTCGTCGCTTCCGTCGTCGTTGTCGCCGTGGTCGTCCTTCCTCCCTCGTTGTCTTCGTCGGCGTCTCGTCGTTGTCCCTCCTATTTCGTCGTCGTCGTCGTCGTCGTCGTCGTCGTCGTCGTGGTCTTCACTCCTCCCTCGTCGTTATCCTCCTCCCTCGTCGTCGTCGTCCGTCGTCGGCGTCTCGTCGTCGTCCCTCCTATTTCGTCGCCGTCGTCGTCGTCTTCGTCGTCGTTGTCGTCGTCGTCTTCCCTCCTCCCTCGTCGTTGTCGTCGTCGGCGTCGCCGTCCTTCCTCCTTCTTCGTCGTTGGCGTCGTCGCCGTCTTCCCTCCTCCATCGTCGTTGTCGTCGTTGTCGCCGTCGTCGTTTTTTTCTCCTCCCTCGTCGTCGTCTCCGTTGGCGACGTCGTCGTCGTCTTCGTCGTCGTCGTCGGCGTCGTTGTCGTCGTCGTCGTCGGTGTCGTCGTCGTCGTTGTCGTCGTCGAAAACATTGGAGACGTCGTCGGTGTCGTCGCAGTCGGTGTCGGCGGCGCCGTCGTCGTCGATGTCGCTGTCGTCGTCGGCGTCGGTGTCGTGGCCAAGTGCCATGTGGTACCTACCGTCACGGTCTTGTCTGAAGAGGTCTTGCGACCAAGTTGCGGGTGGGACGGTGGGATGTTTGCACGAGCAGTGGAGAGGACAGCTTCAAGACGGTCAATATTAATTGTACTACATAGATTGTCCCACCTAGATCGTACAACATATTTTGCAAGAAGCACGCTGTTTGAGGTCCACGCTGGTTTCTATTCCCTGGAAAGAAGAGGACGAGGAGGTGCTCGGGGGAAGACGCTGGTGTATATCCAAAGGGCTTCGCCTGCTGGTTGGCTGACTGGTTGGCGATTGGTTGGTCTGTTGATCGGCTGATCGGTTGGCAGCTTGGTTGGTTGGCTGATTCCCTGTCTGGCTGGTTTGAAGATCGACTGCATTGTTTGCTGGGTTGGTTTGCTGGCTGGTTGTGCGGCTGGCTGGTCTACTGGCGGGTTATTTGGCTGATTGGATGGTTGGTTGGTTGGCTGGTCGGCTGGCAGGTTAGATGGCCATACTGCCAACTGCCAACTTGGCACTGCTGAGCTGCCAAGGTGCTCTGCTGCTGAAGCCCGAGCCGCGTAGCCCAGCTGTCCCCACAGGGAGGACCGCCGGAGTTCTGGGCCCTGCCGAGGTGAGCCGCGTCTTCCAGAAGGGCCGGCCCTTGGAGGTGTTCTTGGAGGGCCTCCGCAGCAGGGGGCGGCGGCAGCTGCGGCTGCGGTCGGGCCTGCTCCGGGCGTTGCGAGACGTGTCCCAGCGCACCGTAGCGCTGGTGCCGATCGCGCTCAGCTACGAGCTGCTGCCGGAGGACACCTCCTTCTTCGACGAGCTGAGAGGCTGCCCGCGGCCTCCGCTCAGCACCTCTGCCCTCGTCGGCTGGGTGTTCCGCGGCATGCGCGGGGAGCTGCCGTCGTTCGGGGAGGCTCGCGTGCGCCTGGGCGCCGCCCACGTGCTGGACGCCGCGGCCGAGCTGCCCGTGCTGCTGGCCGAGGTGCAGGAGCAGCTGGTGAACCTCACCTCGATCACGGCCCTGCACGCGAGGGCCCTGGCGGAGCTCCTGGAGCTGCACCCCGCGGCCGTGTGCGCCGCTCTTCGCAGCGGGGGCGTGCCGGTGCACGAGTCACGCCTGCCGGCTGCTGCGCCGCTCACCGAGGCAGAGCGGTGGCCCCTGGTGCTGCAGACGGCGACGCTCCTCAGGGCGAGGCTGCCGCAGCAGTGGGCCCGCTGGCTGGTGGAGCCCGTGCTGGAGAGGGGCAGCCCCGACTGCTGCGAGCCGCCGCCCAGCGCCCGCTGCAGCACCGTCGCGCCAGCGACCACGCCACCGCCCCGCGGCGACGCGAGGAGGCCCAGCACAGCTGCGTGCGGTGCACAGCCGTCGGCTGCGGCACCCGAGGCCGCTGCCGAGCGTGGCGCTCCTGCCGTCCCCTCGGCCTCGGAGGCCTTCAAGGTCGCGGCAGGTGGCTCCCCGCAGTTGGACATGGACGTCATCGTAGCTGCCCTCGCCTTGAGGCTGGAGGCCGCAGAGGACGCGGCCCACAACGTCGCACGTGCACTGCAGGAGAGCGGCGTCGACAGGGTCACAGAGGAACACCTGCTGCAGCAGCTGCTGCAGACGCACGGCGAGCGGCAAGCGCTGCCGCCGCCGCTGGCCCGCGGGGCGGCGTGCATCGTGGCTGGGCGGCTCAGTCCTGGCATGGTGGCTGGCTACAGCGCGTCCCGGGAGAAGCCCTCGGCCCCCAGGCGGATCGCGCCCCTGTGGCCCACAGCACCCCTGCACAAGGAGCACCGCTGCGACGACGAGGCGCTGGACAGGTGGGGCTTCAAGGACACCAGGTTCTCGGCGCAGTGGGTGGACGGGCGGCCCGCGATGCAGGTGACGTCCACCAGGTACGGCTCTCTGGGAGGGCAGCCCATGCACCAGCTGTGGGCGCTGTTCCAGACGGAGCTCGGGGTGTCCATGAGTGTCCGCGGCACGCTGCCAGAGGAGGCGCTCCCCGCCCTGCCGCCGCCCTCGGCGGGCCTCGTCGGGCGGCTGGCGGCGGTGCTGGCGGAGGACCGCATCTGCACAGATGCCGAGGCGAGGCTGCGCGCTTGCACCGGCCACGGGCTGGCAGACATCTGGCGCCTGCGGACGCGCTCTCTGCCGCGGGCGCCCGACGCGGTGGTGCGGCCCGCCGCCGAGGAGGAGGTCGCGAGCCTACTGGAGGCCGCCCAGGGCGACCACGGCTTTGCGGTCATCCCCGTAGGTGGTCGTACCAACGTGACGTCGGCACTGACGCTCCCGGCACGGGAGGTGGACCCGAGGCCGCAGGTCGCCTTGGACATGCGCGGGCTGAACCGTGTGCTCTGGGTTAACGCGGAGGACGGCGTCGCTCACGTGGAGGCCGGCATCACGGGGAGCGCTCTGAAGGAGGCCCTTCGCGCGCACGGCGTGAACATGGGCATGGAGCCAGACTCGATGGAGTTCTCCACCCTTGGCGGCTGGATCGCAACCCGTGCGAGCGGCATGAAGCGTGCCCGCTACGGTAACATCGAGGACATGATCCTCGAGGTCAGCGTGGCGACACCCAGCGGCGTGCTCTGGCAGCACCAGGGCATCGCCGGTCGCGCCACAGCGCGCTCGGCCTACGGCCGTGCCTCGACGAACGTCGGACTGCCCGGCATGGTCCTGGGCAGCGAGGGCTGCCTGGGTGTGGTGACCTCGGCTGTCGTGAGGGTGAGGCCCATGCCAGAGATCGTGGAGTACCAGAGCGTTGCCTTCTGCGACTGGGAGCAGGGTACCCAGTGGATGAGGGAGGTGGCGCGCCTGCCGGCCGCGCTGCGGCCCGCCTCGTGCCGGCTCATGGACAACAAGCAGCTCCAGCTCTCGCAGGCCATCCGCGAAGACGGGTCGAGGGGCCAGCTCGCATCGGCAGTGAAGCGCGCCATCCTCAGGCTGAAGGGGATCCGCCCGGAGGAGGCGGCCGCCGCCACGCTGGTCTTCGAGGGCAGCCAGCTGGAGGTGGTCGCCCAGAAGTCCGCCCTGTCGCCGCTGGTGCGCAGAGCAGGAGGCGTCTGGGGTGGCTCCAGCTCTGGCGAGGCGGGCTACGCTCTCACCTTCGCGATCGCGTATTTGAGGGACTTTGCGCTGGACCACAGGATACTCTCCGAGTCGCTGGAGACCATGGCCCCGTGGTCGGTGGTGGACAGCGTGTGGCCTGCGGTCGTCGCGGCGGTCAGGGCGGAGCACGCTGCCATGTGGCTGCCAGGCCAGCCGTACCTGACGTGCCGCATGACCCAGCTGTACGACGAGGGCGCCGTGCTGTACATGTACCTGGCCGTCAGCACCATCGGCCTTGCGCCAGAGAAGGCTCGAAGACGAAGCACATGCATGAACGTAAACCGTTGGCGGTCCGCGCGGGTTTCTTGGATCTGCGCTCAGCCCCCCTGGCGGCGCCTCTGGCGCCGCCTCCGGCGCGCTCCGCGCGCCAGGGAGGGAGGTCCAGCCTCAGCTCCAAGAACTCCGCGCGCAGCTCCGACGGCTCATGCCTCTGCTGCTTCTCCATCCCCTGCAGGCGCTGGAGGCCTTCGAGCGCCTGGAGCGCGCGGCGCGCCGCGCCGTGCTGGACGCGGGCGGCTGCCTGAGCCACCACCACGGCGTCGGCAAGCTCCGTGCGGGGCTCCTGCCCCGGACGCAGGCCCCGGCGTGGTCGGCCGCGCTCCGCGGGCTGAAGGCCGCCGTGGACCCCGCCAACGTGCTGGGGGCCCGGAACGGCGTCTGGGCGGAGGCCGCGCGCGGGGAGGAGCGCTGCGGCGCGCCGCTGTGACGGCGGTGGGCCCCGCAGGGGGCCTTCGGCGCGCTGCGCCCGCGGCCTGCCGGCACCGCGGAGGCGACGAGGAGGTCGACTGCAGCGGGAACTGAGGTGTAAGCTCGAGATCGGTTCGGGGGGGGTGCCATCGAGTTCTTCATGTCTGTTGGATGTTTTCGTGCATCCCGGGGGAGGGCACTCTCGGATGCGCTGCAGCCTGGGCCGGCGGGGGGTCTCGTGTTCTCGAGGGATGTGCTCGTGCCCCAGGTCCGAGCGTGTCCCATGGGGCGATCGGCGTGGGTACGGAAACAGTGGGAACGAAGACCAGCGGCATGTCCTGCTCGTTTTTGGGCAGGATTCGCTGTCGGCGTCGCTGCGGGCGATGTCCGTTCGAGGCACAAGGCCGCCTGGCCAATGGCGGCCGCTGTCGTTTTTGAGCAACGTCTGTTGTTGGGGCACCGACACCATTTTTTCCGTACTCATTTTTCGGGCGTCCGAAGGGCAGCGCAGGGGCGGCCATTCTACCTATCCTTCAGGGAGACCCGCCGTAGGCATTAACCATCGGCGCCCCTGTGAGGAGGAGGAAGAGGAGGAGGAGGAGGAGGAGGAGGAG